GTGGCTTGATGAGCAGATTGGGGAATTTGAGAGAGAGGCTTCTGGACTTGGTGACTGAGTCGCCGCTCTTGAGGCCGAGAAGGCCCAATTGCTGGCTCGACCATCCTCTTCCCGCACTTCTAATTTTCCTAATGTTCCTCGAGATTTGTATGAGGAGTGGGTTTACGCCAAGGCCCAGCTGGATATATTTAGAGATCCGATAAGGGCAAGACCCATTTAAGAAGTCGTCTTCAAAGATGCTCGTGTTAAGCCACGTGAAGCCCGGGTCGCTTATGGCTATGATCCTGCTACACCGGAGGCTGGTGACGATGAGGGAGATATGGGCATGGACCGGATTGAAAAGGACGCCCGATACGAGGATGTGTATCCTGAGGTTGGTGGTGATTCTGAAAGGGCAGATGGAGATGGCCCAGGTGGTCGAGCTGATAGCACTGCTGGGCCTGACAGCTACCAGTAGTTTTTTTCCCCTCTTTTTTGTTTTGCTGTAAATTTGTGCGTTTGTTTTTTAAGCTGTCTTTACCAGCCTTTGTAAAAATTTTCTAAGTATGAAATGCCAGCTTTGTTATTTGTACCTGATTCTCTTTCTGCGGTTCATGCTGGTATGCTTTTTGATTTTGTTGCTTGGTTGCCTTGATTTTCTTAGCCGTAATTACTTGGTTTGAATAAGGTTGACCATCCTATGTTTAACTACGGTCAAGGATCAGCAGGTGTTAGTTCGAATGAGGTCGAGCCAAAACCTAAGTTTGATTATGGTCGAGGGCCAGTAGATGTTGGTTCAAACATGTCATATGTTTAATCATGGTCGAAGGCCAGTAGGTGTTGGTTCGGATGAGTCAAACATATCATATGTTTAATCATGGACGGAGGCTATTAGTTCGAACGAGGTTGAACATATCATATGTTTAATGATGGTTGAAGGCTAGTTAGGTGATAATTCGAATGGGGTCAAATATAACATATGTTTAGTTATGGTCAAGGGCCAGTTAAGTGTCAATTCGAATGAGGTTGACTATAACCTATGTTTAGTTATGGCTGAGAGCCAGTTAGGTGTAAATTCAAACGAGGTCGAATATAACCTATGTTCGAAAAGATATGCCTCTGGCTGCGGCATTTGTCGACGTTGTGAACTTTAAGACAGCGTTGCCTTGGTTGTATATTTGGAGAAATAGAAATAAACTACATGCATTGTTGCTTTGTTCATACACTTGGAGAAATTTACATACTTTTTCGGGCATTGGATGGTGATCCAGTCCCAGTCCCAATCTATCTAGTCCCTTCATTGGTCGACCTGGAGAAATCTTGAGAGGTCGAGCAATGAACTAGTTGTCCTGTGCCTTCCTCTATGTGCACTTCGACCTAAAGTGTTCCCTTCGTCTCCACGTTAAAACCTCCTTGAGAAAACCCAATTGGGACAAAACTCAAGTGAGGGGAAAAAGAGTACAATTTGGGGGACGCTTTATCTCTTAAAATTTGAAGTACATGAGGTGGGTAATATTCCAGTTGTTTGGTAGCAGTTTTCCTTCCATTGTTTCTAGTTGGAATGACATTTTGTTTGCTATTTCCGTGATTTTTAATAGGCTGTCCCAATTTGTTCCCATTTTACCTTCCCGTGGGTCTTTGCTTTCTTGTGTTTTAGCTTTAAGCACGTAATCCCCGACTTTGAGTGGCTTGACCTTTGCCTTTTTGTTATAATAGTGTTATGCTTGTTATTTTTGGGCGATCATCCTATGTAGGTCATGTCTCTTCACTCTCCGACTTCGTCGAGCTCCTTCCTTCTGCTTTCATCGTTCCTTGTTCCGCTCTCATAGGAGTATCTTAGGTTGGGCTCCCCGATTTCAACCGGTATTACTACATCAGTCCCATAGACTAATGAATAAGGCGTCCCTCATATGCTTGTCTTCGGCATTGTTCGGTAGGCCCAGAGTACTTCTGGTAATATTTCCGGCCACAGATCTTTGGCATCTTTAAGTTTTTTCTTCATGATATTCAGTATAGATTTGTTAGAGGACTACGATTGTCCATTTCCCGCAAGATGATATGGCATTGTAAGTATTCATTTGATATGCCATTTTTCAAAGAATCCAGCGACATTCTTTCCTGTAAATTAGGATCCGTTGTCGCAGCTGATCTCTTTGGAGAGGCCGAATCGGCATACGATGTTTTTCCATATGAAGGCGATCACTTCTTGTTCACGTATTTGGGTGAATGCTCCTACTTTTACCCATTTAGAGAAATAATCAGTCAAAACCAAAAGGAATCGTACGTTACCTCATCCTTCCAGGAGAGGGCCTACAATGTCAATTCCCCATTTGATGAACGACCAAGGGGAAATGACTAAGTGGAGGTGTTTGCCTGCTTGGTGGATCATTGGGGCATACTTTTGGCATTGCCCGCATTTTTTCACGAAGTCCGCGGCCTCTTTTTTCATGGTGGGCCAGTAATACCCTACCCGTATGAGGCATCTAACCAAAGCCTGATTGCTGGAATGAGCTCTGCAATGGCCTTCATAGACCTCTTAAAGAATGTGCCGCGTCTGATTTGGGCCTAAGCATTTTTCCAGAGGGCTGTCATACGTTTTTTTTATAGTTTGTCGTGAATGATGTTGTACTTGACTGCTTGTATTTGCAGTTTCTTGGCCTTTTTTTATCTCTTGGGAGTACGTCATCCTGCAAGTATGTAACAATATGGTTGTGCTAGTCCCAAGTCAGGTTTATGGTTCTTACCTCGATTTAGTCTATCGATGAGTTGAGGAGGTGGACTACACTTTTGTCCTCAGTTGTGATGTTTTTGGCGGTTGCGGCTAACTTGGCAAGGCTGTCTGCCGATATTCTATGCTCAGGGGATCTGGTCGAATTGACATTCATCGAACTAGGGCAGCAGCTTGCAGATTTCGGTTTGGTATTTTTGTAACCTCTATTCCTTGATTTGAAAAGTCCCTGCGACTTGATTGACTACAAGTTGAGATCGCAGCATAGTCTTAACCATTTTGCCTCGTATTTGAGTACCAGCCTTAATGCTGTAATTACGGCCTCATACTCGGCCTTGTTGTTAGTTATGTCCGGTCACCTTATGGATTGTTGGGACTTCGAGTACGAGTCTCAGTCCAGACCCTGACGCATTGGATGTGTCGTCGGTGTACAGGACCCAGAGGTATCGTGTTTAGGGAGAAGCATGGACGGCTTCTCTTTCGACTTCAGGCATTATTTTTGCACTGGAGTCAACGACAAAGTCCACAAGGACTTGTGACTTTTTCATTGTTCGCGGCTGATATGTGATATCGTGCTTGCTCAGTTCGACAGTCTATTTGGCCAACCTTCCCGATAGCTCAGGTTTATACAAAATGCTTCTTAGGAGGGAAGTCGTGACGACCGAGATGGGGTGGCATTGGAAATACGGTCTAAGCTTTCATGAAGCTACATTAAGGGTAGAGCTAGTTTTTTGAGGTGAGGGTATCTTGTCTAGGCATCGACTAGTGTTTTGCTAATGTAATAGATGGGAGACTGCGTACCTTTGTTTTCTCGGACCAGGATTGTGCTCACCGCTACTTCAGATACGGTGAGGTAAACATGTTGGCGATGACAAATATGCTTTTAATTCCTTCAGGACTTGGACACATTCAGAAGTCCATTAGAGGTCGTTATCCTTCTTGAGTACGTCGAAAAATCGGTGTCACTTATCTGATGATCATGAAATGAATCTTGAAAGGGCGGCGATATGGTCAGTTAACCTCTGAACCTATTATTTTGGTGGTTAGGAGTTCTGGTATCCCTTCGATGGCTCTGATTTGATCGGGGTTGGCCTCGATCCCTCGCTATGATACCAAGAAACCAAGAATTTTTCCTGAGGCCACGCCGAATGCTTTTTTCGGGATTTAATTTCATTCTGTACTGCCTGAGTATGTCGCAGGTTTCTCTTAGGTGGTCGATGTGATCTTCTTTTTCTTTTGGACTTGACCAGCATGTCGTCTATATAGACTTCCATTGTTTTATCGAGTTGGTTTTTGAACATCTTTGTCACTAACCTTTGGTAAGTTGCCCCTGCATTTTTCAACCCGAATGGCATGACCTATAGCAATACGTCCCCTGGTGGTGATGAAAGTGGTTTTCTCCTGCTCCTCTTCTTTCATAAGGATTTGATTATAGCTCGAGTAGGCGTCCAAAAAGCTCAGCAGTTCACGCCTGGTCGTTGCGCCGATGAGTTGGTCGATATGTGGTAATAGAAATGAATCCTTAGAGCATGCTTTGTTCAAATCCATGAAATCTACGCACATCCGCCATTTCCTATTCTTCTTTTTTACCATGACCACTTTGGCGACCCATTGGGGGTATTTTGATTCCCTGACGGAGCCATTTTCCAATAGCTTTTCCACTTATTCGTGTACTCTATCACTGATTGCGGAGTTGAATTTATGCCCAACCTACCTCACTTTGGGTTGGAATGGGGTCGACATTCAGCTTGTGCGTGGAGATTTCCTTCGGGATACCCGGCATATCTGCATGGCTGAAAGCAAACAAGTCCGTGTTAGTATTTAAGAACTGACGCAATTTACCTGGTTCTTGCCGTTTGCAATTGATGTAAGCTTTCTTGCTCTAGTCATTGTTGTCTAATTGAATGGGCTCGAGATATTCTATGGTCGATTCTACAGATTCGATCATATCGGGGTCTCTGATGACGTCCTTTCTATAGTCACAAATCGACCTCGACCCTACTGATTGTTATGCCTCTTTCATCTTTCATTTGTTGAGTGACCGTGCAGTCTTGAGCGATGCGATAGCATTTTCGGGACGTGCATTTTTCCCTTCGTATGCTGAATATTCCCCATGGAGTTAGGAATCTAATGACTTGGTATAAGCTGGAAGGGATGTCTCCCATGGTGTGTATCCATGGTCGCCCTATAATGGCATTTTACGTTGTGTCTTGGTCCATAATGTGGAATGTGGTTTCCAGAGTGACGCCATCGGCCAAGATGGGGAGTGTGATTTAGCCAGATGTTCGCTCAACTACATTGTTAAAACCCCCACTATGATGCAACATGATACTATGTTATCTTCGAGTTTCATTTGTGCGATTACTCGACGGCAGATAATGCACGCGTTACTACCATAATACGTCTCACATCGGTATCTAAAATTTGTAACAACGGCATCATAGTAAGGGAATACCAAACCGTCGATATCTGACTTAGCGAAGATGATACTTTCTTCGAGTTCATCATACCATTCGTGGTTGATGGACGTGAGCTTCTGAGTTATGGTTAACTTCACGCTGTTGATGGAAGTGTCGCCTCCGCCGCCAATGATCATGTGGACGGTGCGAGTTGGCGAGGGCGTTATCGGTGGTCCTTGAAGTTGTTTACATCCTCTGGAAAAGTTGGTCCTTCCCCGGTCGCTCAACAATTCTTTGAGGTGCCCCTGTCGGAGCATGTTTACGACCTCCTGTCTTAGTGCGATGCAATCCTCGATTTTGTGCCCTTGCTCTTGGTGGAACTCAAAAAAGGACGTACTCGGGTTTGACCTCATCTTTTGTGGCCACTTCGCCTTTGGTCTGAGCTTCTCCAAGGCGTAGACTACTTCTATAGGTGACACACCAAAATTATGAGCGGATAATAAAAGGGGCATACCTCTTTCGTTCTGGTGAGTCCCTGTTCTCATTCTGGGTGGGCCCTCTTCATAGCGAGAGGATGTAATCGTCGTTCTGACATATGGTCAGTGTTGCTCCCTGTTGGGTCGCAGAGCTGCGAGGTCCCTTCTGGCATCATTTCTTCGATCTTTCCTGGATTCAGTATCGCTCCATGGGGCACTTTTTGAGTACCAACCGGGTGCAGCTGCTGGACGTACCACAATTCTACTAAAACTTGCAAAAATCTCTGCATCTATCTGTTCGAGTTAGCGATAAGCCAGTATCCAAATCTGCCACTCCTTGGGCGAAGCCTTCTGTTCTATGAACAACCCACTATTGAATGATTTTTTTCAAGTTCTCGCCTCCTCCGGGGAGAAAACAGGGTCAAGCCAAGCCGTAACTCGCCTAAATGGAATTAATATCTCCTTTGTCTGATTGAGAAGGGAGGGGAACGGGACTCTGCCTCTTCTATTATATTTATATTACATTACGGAGAAGTCCATTCTCGTCATGATCGATCCACGTCCTAGAATGGTGCCTGATTTGCTTAGCAATCAAAGCTAGCTTACTAAGGTAGTTTACTTTTTCATTTTGAAAAAAGAAGGCGAAGGCATTTTTCCTTGAATATTGCATGAGCTAGCCAGCAAGCCAACAAACCCCCCTTACTCACCTCAACATCTATAAAAAGAGCTCTTTCTCTTTTTCATATCGAGGTCAATCGATGAGTTAGTCCATTGAGGTCGTCTTCATCTGCTCGGACCTCGGCACAATACGCATTGTGTATCTCTTCCAAGTCGTTGGTGGGTACTTCATGAGTCGACTTAATAGTTTCCTACTCGCCTCGACCCGTTCCTGCTCAGCCCGTTCTGGAAGGCTGCGACTGCCCTCCCTTCTGACACTTTCGGTAGGGTCATCCTTACTCGGTTGAAATGGGCAATGAAGTCCCTCAGTCCCTCTCCCTGAGACTGTTTAATGGCAAATATGTTGTTCACTTTTGCTTCGGCTTTCTTGGGCCCGGCATGAGCTGTTACGAGCTTGTCTTCCATCTCTTCGAAGGTTTCAATAGAGCATGCAGATAGTTGTGAATACCATGTCAACGCTCCTCTCGTGAGGGTCTCACCGAATGTTTTCAACAAAATGGAGGATACTTGTTCCTTAGAGAGATCATTGCCTTTCACGGCGATGACGTAGTGAGTCACATGGTCCTCAAGGTCGGTTGTGCCATCATATATTTTCAGGTATGGTGGCATTTTAAAGATATTTGGTATGGCATGTAGAGCAGCATCGTCATTATATGGTTGCTCGACGAACCGGTCGGCATCTCTCTTTGGTAAGAGCTTAGGGGCGTCCGGCATCTTATCGACCCTTTCTTGGTGTTCTCTCATTCGATCACAGAGTGTTTTGTGCTCATTCTTCATTTCCTTCATCCTTTTTAGGACGACTGTGAGAGCGTCGCCACCTGCACTATTAATGACATTGTGAGTAATACATGTAATTGGAAGGAGTAGGTTGTGCTGCTTGTCTATGGTTTGTATAAGGCAAGTCCTCGTGTTTTCTGTAGCTGTGTCCCGAGCAGGCTTATGGAGGACGCTGGTTAGCATATCAGTTAGCTAAGCCTCAAGGAGCTTTTTTATAGCTGGTGGCGCCTCTTCCACCACGGATGTAGAGGCTCCCTTACCAAGAGATTTTGTGATGCTACAGTGAGGAAGGGGTGACCTACCTCACCTAGGGGAGGCGTTGTGTCTTCGTCCACCGCTTCAGAACTCTCATTGATGGCGTTCATGACGTTGGTTGGGAGATCACTTATTATTCTCGTCCTTTCTTCTCCGTTACCTACGATGTTGGATCTGTGCATGCAAAGAAAGAAGGTTTTGTTCTTGTTTTTTTTTTGTTAGCGATCCGTGTTAGTTATAGATCTAGATGAAACGAAAAATTTAACAAAGAAATCTCCACAGAAGGCGCCAAATTGTTTAACCAAAAAACATAACTTCCGATTAAAATAATTGTATTTATATAATGACGGGTTAAACCTAGTTAATGATAATATCTCTAGATGTATGTTTCAAAAATGCGGTTAATGTTAAAAAGATCTGGTGGGCGATTGACAACAATACGCATTAAATATCCAAGAAGATATGAGCAATAATGGAGTAGTATCTAGTAATAAATGATAATAAATAACATTTAAGTAAATTAAAGAAATGGTTTACCCAACAAAGGACGAACGGAATGATTATTCCTCCTAACAATGATGAGTGACAAATAGATCTTAGAATATTCGAACTATTCTCGGATTTGATGGAAAAGTGTAGAATAATATGAGCAAGAATCTTGATGAAAAGGTAATGTTTGTGAGAATCTTTATCAAAAGTTTGTTTTTATCAAATATGTGTTCCCCCTGTTCATTATTTTTTCCCCTATTTATATGGAACATACCCCTAAATAACCCTAATAGTACAAATGTAGAGAATATCCAATGGAATATTCTTTTTAATGTCCTATTCTATCTTTCGTGGTACTCGACCTCGACCATCATTTGTACCTCGACCACGAGCCTCGTTGTTTCTTGATCGATCTCGACTGACTCGTTTCTCGATGTTACTTTGCCCTAAATATTGAGACAGATTTCGATCTATATAATATTCAGTCAAATAAATTCACATAAATTGAAACCGAGCGAATACTATTCTAGTACTCCAACAAATGCTCTGTTTAATCCCACTATCTTCACTTCAAACGAAGCCGAGCTTAGGTAGCTGGCAACTTTGGCGAATTAAGATTAGGAGAGTTGGGGCCAGGGTGACGTGGTCATCCTCATCTTTTGTTAGAACACGTTATTGGATAAGATTGAAATTTTTGTTGAAAAATTGATGTGGTGGGAGCTGGGAACCTTCCCTATCTACTCAAGTATTGGGAAATGTCTTTACCTTAAATCCTTCATTAACACAACTAACAACAGTATAATCTTATTAGTAACGTCTGGGAAGGATAGTGTGTATACAGACATTATCTTTACTATGAGTAGAAAAGCTATTTCCAAATAGATCATTAGCTTTCTTCTCACCAAGAATTTCCCACCTTATTTTTGGGGTGACTCGAACTCATAACCTCTTGATTAAAAGTAAGAGTTACTTACCAGAGCAATCCCTCTTTATCTTTTTAAATCCTTCATTAACACTTTCCGCTTATTAGTACTCCTACTAGTATTCAATAAAAACTTATTAGTGATAGTAGATTAAAATTTTGTTTTGACATAGCAATAGCAATTATTTACATCGTTCAGCTACAAAAGTAACTTAAATTTAGTAAATTAAATCCGAAAGAAAACAGTGTACAAGATAAGAATGGAAATAAAAGGAATATTCCGTGACAAAAATAAGAACTGACCCCACCTTTTCTCACTTTCGCCAACTGAATAAAGAAAGCAGTAATGAAATTTCCACTTGGGGCACATTTCCAAAAAAGTTTGCCCCCACAATCACCACTAGATACAAACCGCCTTTCCTTTCCAATTATAGACCAATGGTTAATTTGCCTCATTAACCCTCAACAGCCTTCCTATTTTATGTTCTCATATCAATCAGGTGTCACCAACTATGGACCAATTCCTCCTACTCGGCCACATCATTCACGTATCAACAACTCCTTGAAACAATAGCAGCTTACAACCTCTTCTATAATCAAGACTCTAGTATACCATTTAAAAGATGGCATTATTGATCAATAATGCACAAACACTTGTCACATGCTAGCGTATTTAAAGGGAAGTCTATTTTTTGGTAAGCAAAAGATTGAAGAGAATGGTTCATAGAAGCAACTTAATACTGTAGACAACAGAAGTTTGGTAACATCAAACATCAGGTATCTTCAATTGAGATCATCCATAAAATGCTAAATTTAAAATCTTTTATTTGAAATTTTGAGAGGTTAGTTTACCTAATTACATAAAACTGCTTGCTCAATTGCCAACACATTGAGAACAGCATCAGAGGGTTAAAGCATACGCTTGACTAAGCCAGAGAACAAGGACAGAGATATCAAACGAGTAAACTTTCAAAATAATGCATACAACACATACTTAGTCTTGCTTGGAGACAACATAACTGTAAACTTCACTCAAATGAAGCTTTAATTACAAAACTTAGCAAAGGGAGGGCAGGCTGGCTTAGTAGACACCTCCCATTAAAGAAGGAACATCATCAAAGGACCAAAGGTCCATAGCATTTCCACCATCCTGTGTTGCATCTGCATTGAGCAAGGCCTCAACTGATGCATCCCAATTTCCCTCAAGATATGGGATCTGCAAGAACTTCATCTGGGATTCAAAAGCCGATAGCTCTTCAGACAGCTTGTTCACAGTGTTGCCATCATCTGGCAGTGAATTGTCCGAGCAGGACTTGAGTTTTTTCTCAGGACGAGCATCTTCATGGAATTGAGTCCCATTACTTTCTAAAACAGCCGACAGAACAGATGATATTTCTGGAGACCTTGAACAAGGTTCGCCCCAACCAAAATCAGAGCAGTCAAAAGTGTTACTTCCTTCATCAGAATTGAAGTAAACATTTGTACCAGCTGAAGGCGAAAATGAGTTAAGTCCCATATCTCCAGCAGTAAAAGACACGTCCTCGTAGCCATACTGCTTTGCTGTTGGTTTCTCTTCAACAAAGCTCAACGAATCATCAGAACCACAGCCAAAGTTGTTAGTAAAAGTGGTGTTGGCCTGAACTATGTTCGAGCTCTCTTTGTGAAGTGCCTCCTGGGGATTTAGCTTCACAACACGTCTTGAAGAAGACACTGGAGCTTCATCGGGAAAGTTCACCTTAGCTTTCTTGCCTCTGATCCTCCGGGCCTCAATATCATAAGCTCTCGCAGCTTCTTCTGCAGAATTGAAAGTTCCAAGCCAGACTCGAATCCCTTTCGTTGGATCACGTATTTCAGCTGCCCACTTACCCCAAGGACGTTGTCTGATCCCCCGGTATTGATTCTTCCTCTTTCTCTTGGAGGATTTGTCAGCATTGCAGCTTGAATCATC